TAATTACAAACTTCGTCATCTTAAGATTATTTATTTAGAGGGAAAGAAGAAAGAAAAGAAGTGAACACCTAGTGAAAAGCCTCATCCATGATGAGAATAATAATTGCGTAGTGAATATCAACCTCAGAAGGAAACCAACAATTTAGAAAAATAAAATAAAAATCCTTTAATGCACTCGGATGAATACATTAAGATTTATGTAATAGTATACAGAGTGAAATCGGATATTAGTGTAAATATTTGTGCAATAATAATTAAGAATGATGCTATGAAAGTCACAATTAATTTCAAAGGACAGTCAGGAATTAAATATGTTAAGAAGGATACTTGCTCTTTTACTTACCCCTGTTACTCCTCGTGAAGGAGCATGGGCCAGCATTCTCCATCTAACCCTGTCCTGGGGAATCCTTTCTAGCTCCGTCCAGTTGTAATTCATCGTTTTCATATCTGCTCCTATTATCCGACGCAATGTGTTCTTTGGCCTTCCTCTTTTTCGCTTCCCTTCAGCATTCCAAGTCAGGGCTTGCCTCGTGATGCAGTTTGACGATTTGCGTAATGTATGTCCTATCCATTTCCATCGTCTTTTCTTAATTTCTTCTTCAGCTGGAAGTTGGTTTGTTCTCTCCCACAGAAAGCTATTGCTGATGGTATCCGGCCAATGGATGTTGAGTATCTTGCGTAGACAGCTATTTATAAATACTTGTACTTTCTTGATTGTGGTTGTTGTAGTTCTCCAAGTTTCAGCTCCATACAGTAGAACTGCCTTGACGTTCGTATTGAAGATTCTCACTTTTATATTGGTTGAAAGTTGTTTTGAGTCCCATATGTTCTTCATTTGTAGGAATGCGACCCTTGGTTTGCCGATCCTCGCCTTTACGTCTGCATCTGAACCTCCTTGTTCATCGTAGGTGTCATTACCAAGGTTTGATTTGATAATTTCGAATAAATTGAGCATTGGGTTGATTGTTATCGATGATACTTGTGTGGGCTCTTGGAATCGCTAGAATATTGTGTTTGTAGGCCTGTTCGTGTAGGAGTTTAGATCCATGTTCATTGAAGAAGACGAAGGATTCACGGATTCTCCTGGAAGTCGAAGTGTTGTTCCAGTTGAGCTGCAGTGTACCCAATGTCAGTTTTCACTGCATTGCGAATACCTAGTAAGATGAGTGAAAGGGCGCCGGTCCACCGAGAAATGTTTGCAAATGATTGTGAAGCTTTTAGTTGTCGATGAAAGCGTTCTACTAGCCTGTTTGCTTGTGGGTGGTGGGCGGTCGTTCGGAAGCGAGTGATTACTAATAGTGCGGTCAGACAAAGGAAACGTTCAGATTCGGATTGGCGTCTGCGATTTGTTGTGACGGTTGAATTAGAGCCGAAGTTTGCTACCCATCGTTCGACGAAGGCGCAAGCCACTGTTTAAGCAGTAACGTCCTTGATAGGTACTGCTTCTGGCCATCGAGTGAAACGGTCTACGCTGGTTAGGAGGTAAGAGTATCCATTTGAATCTGGTAAAGGTCCTACCAAATCAAGATGGACATGGTCGAAACGAGCATCGGGAGTTTTTAATGAGCCTAAGGAACATTTATTGTGTCTGATAACCTTAGATTTTTTGGCAGCTTACACAGGAGCATGCCCACTCCGTCACGTCTTTATTCATGCCAGGCCAGCAAAACCGTTCTGCTATAAGCTTGATGGTTGCACGAACACATGGATGAGAAAGTTTGTGTGACGTATAGAAGACGTTGCATAGATAAAGTTTCGATACGATTAGGCGATCCTTAACTATAGATGTATCACAGAGTGAGGTTTCCTTACCTATTCCCATCTGTTTATTGCGCACCTTAAGGGCAGTTGAGGATAACTCGTGCTGAAGATCAGTGTCTTCTTTTTGAAGCTCGGCGAGTTTACGAAGGTCGATTCCTTGGAAAATGTTCAAGGAAGTTATGCGAGATAAGGCATCTGCAACTACATTGTTTGCTCCAGAAATATGTTGAATATCTGAAGTAAACTGCGAAATGTAGTCCAGTTGTCGAGACTCACGGGGAAAGTACTTGTCTGAAGTAGAGCTTAACGAGAAAGTGAGCGGTTTATGATCCGTGAAAAGAGTGAATTCACGGCCCTCGATATAGTGTTGGAAATGCCGTACAGCACAATACATAGCTAGGAGTTCCCTACCGAAAGTGCTGTACCTTGATTCAGTGTCTAGCAACCATCTCGAGAAGAATGCCAAAGGTTGCCAGGAGTGGTTAACCGATTGTTGTAAGACTCCTCCGATTGCTGAGTCTGATGCATGTACTGCGATATTAATGGGCGCTTGAGTGTCCTGATGTGGGAGCATCGTTGCCTTTGCTATGGGTTCCTTAACTGTGGAGAATGCTTGTCGCGCGGTATCGTCCAGACTAATGGATTTCGCATTTCCGCGAAGTTGGTTGGTTAGCCGTTTCATAAGTGACGCGCATTTCGGTATGAACCGTCTATGGAAACTTACAAGTCCGTTAAATATGTGCAAATGCCCAGTCGTGATGGGTTCTGGGTAATCCAGAATGGCCGCGACTTTTTTCCTAAGAGGTCGGATGCCTCGCGCATCAATAGTATGTCCTGGGAAATTTAAGGAGTCGGCTCTGATTTGGCATTTCTGAATGTTTACCATGATGCCGTGTTTTTGTAGTCGTTCGAACACAAGATCCAGATGCCAGAGACGCGATTCGCTGTCCGGAATGGCTATTAAGCAGTCATGAACATGCGCATGTACGAAGTGGAATATTGTCAGTAGCCATAGAGAGTTGGTTATACCCTTTAACCAAGTCGATTTTTGAAAAGACATTTGTACCTTTCAAGGTAGCTGTCAAATCGTGAATGTGAGGCAACGGGTAACGATCGGGAATGGTTTTCGCATTTAATCGCCGATAGTCACCAGTTGAACGCCAATCGTTGCTGTCCTTTTTAGGGACCACGTGCAACGGAGATGCATATGGGCTACTTGATGGTCGTATGATTCCTAAGTCTATCATATGGTCAATCTCGTTTTTCGCCAACCTCAGCTTTTCGGGAGCTAGTCGTCGTACTTTCGAAAATACAGGTAGTCCTGTAGTCGTGATGTGATGTGTAACGTTGCTGGTTACACACGGTAGTTTCGGCTGATAAAGTGGGTCTATCATATGCTTAATTGTGACTGGGGATAATCTGCAACCAGTAAAAGAATTTACGTAGACGAATAAATTAGTGTTTCCGTCTACTAGGCTCCGTTTGCGCGTATCGATGATCAGATTATGGTGTTGTAGAAGGTCCATAAGAATGATTGGCATAGAAACATCTGCAACAACGAAGATCCAGTGAATGGGTTTGCGTAAACCCACGTTAAGGTAAACGTTCCTTTCGCCATACGTAGCGATAGGTTTTCCGTTTGCCGCCTGTAAATTTAGAGCCGATTCGTTAAGCCGGCCGTTAGGATTTGCTGGGAAAACGCTAACTTCTGCGCCAGTATCGACGAGGGAGCGAACCCTCGTTGTCACATCTGTGACTCATAAAAGACGGCTATGTTCGCCTGCTACGATTGCCATTAATGCGTGCCGGCTGGGAAGTTTCCCGAGTTGTTTTTCGAGTCAGTCGGTTTCGTGTTGGGAAAATTGCAGGGTTTTCTGCAGTTTCTGGAAGACTTTCTATACTGGTTATGATACCAGCACCAGTCGGGGTTATCTGTCTCTCGTGGTCTAGAGACAGATCGCTTACGTAACGTGCTTCTTCGAGGGGTGTGTGACGGTTTACGGTCGTTACGAAATGTAAGATAACGTGTAAGTGTATGACATAATTTGGTTATGTCATTCTAGGTCGTCAAAGAAAAACCTCAGTATTAGAAGATTTGGTGATTTCTAGGATGGGGTCGGCAGATGCAAACTCACAGTTTGCAATTCGGTGTGCCAGATCACGCCGGGATCACCAATGAAGATGCACAGGTATTTGGAGTTTGACAACGTTCTAACCAGTAACACCTAATATGAATCGTACCAATCAAGTGAGATGAAAAGACAGAAGCGAGGAGGTTCGAAGATATATTTGATAGACTATCAATATATTGAGGACCGACTGATCGAATCTGGTTAGCGATTGCAGGAGATGTTGATCACGGCGTTCCCATCTGTGATCTGGCGTGGATGCATGATCGAGCGCCTTCAGCTAAGTGGATCCAATAAAACCAATGTGGTTGGCATCCAATGTCGAAAACTTACAGAGCTATTTATTTTGGGGATTTATTTACCAATAAACACTATTTTCATGTGGTCACACACCATAAAATATTCTGCCTGACACATGTAATGTCACTTGATGGTAGCCTATCGGTTCACTAATTTCGCCCAATGATTTAGTGAAACGTAAACTAACTGTTCCGGAACTCTTCAGAGATCAACGATGATGACTAACTGACTATGAGGAATTGTCCCACAATAAGTCACGAAACGTGAGGAATGCAGCTTCTTTTTGGGATATAACGAAAATATAATTTTTACCAGCCTTCCGCACAATGCGCAATCCATTTGAAACCACCAAGTCCAACTTTGGAATTGATTCCTATAATAACGTACCTTGAGTCACCAGTCAACCTACCTTAATTTAGATATATCTCAATCTCACTATCCTTTAAATTGTGGAAAGAGACGCTGTTTATATGCAGTCACTTGCACATCTATAAGGAAATACCTGAATGAAGCTACCTAGATTGTAAACGTCTCTAGATTTCGTATATTGATGTTTTCTTACTACATCGCTGAGTTGTATGAATGCACTTGTTATCTGAACACCGTAGCATAAGGACTGCCATAATGAAACAACCCACAACATACCGTATATAAACTAGACAGCGTACTCATTACCACAGTGGTGAAACTTAATGTTACCTAACGACATCTTTGTAATAAATATGCTGTGGACGAACCTTAACAGTAAAAATGTCATTTTGAGGAAGCATAGTTTTGCGAAAAGCGAATTGAACTGAGAAGTCATTTTATCAGTTATGAATAATTCGCTTTATTTGTCATTTAAAAAGATTATGCATACTTCTAGTTAGAACTATTGTGAATAAGAAAACAGAAAAGCTTTTTAAAAAAATACAAGATAGAATACTCAAAGCATTTTTGTAGAAAAAATAAAGTGCTCGGGAAATAATAAATCTCAACAAAAATACTGTTTGATTTGATCATCAGTATTATTTGTTGTTCCATGCATCAAATTTCTTCAACAAGTCGGAAACGAGAACAATTTTCCATATTTTCCGTCACACATAGGCGCTTACCTTTAATCGATAAAACCGAATTATGAACATCTTCATGTAACGTTGGTGATATAGTAGTTGAGTTGCTGTGAAAATTATGAAAATTTTAAACAGGACAAATAAATTATCAAACAAACCAATCGGCTTAATTAAAACTATGAGTCAACTGCTAAGCATAAGACCGTGAATAAATATTTGATACAAAAAAAACTCAACTTTCACGTTATTCATTAAATTACACATGAACAGGTAATACCAAGAACAATATAATGGAAAAAGAACTAGAAGTTGAAGTTAATTTGTTTGTAGAAGTGACATTTCGGAGTTACAATCAAGAATCAAATAAAGAAAACCAATCAGATGCAAATATAACCAAAGGCGATAAAACAAGTGAGAGTGAAGGATTACTTGTTTATTGACGTCCTTCAAGTTGGTCTGATTATTTGTCACTGTATATCAACAACATTAACACAAAAACGACGCCAAATTCCTATTAAACACATATAATTAGCTTTACATCAAGTAACGTATGACCGAAATTGCACTACTCTCGAGCTCAATGGATCATAGAACACTACATGTGCGCGAAAAGGTAAACCAACTGGCAAGCATCTAGACTGATCATGTTTCTAAAGTACGAAATTGGGGAACATTTGTTAGTTTGTGATTCATGCTGCATATTACTTCCGTCAGTTCCGAATTCCTTTCGTTTCGCTGGCCACCACGGTCCATGTTTGATGAGTAGACTTGTGGGATCAGTTTTCGAGCGTAGACTAATGCAATAGACATTTATTTTAATTGTTTTCACAGCCACTCGAGTATCAAACCAGACTAAACCGAAATGAAAATCACTCTGATGATTGACTGCCGTGTTAGTCGTTCATAAAAAAACATAATCTTGATTATTTTATCGTTAACATGGACTTCGAAGTTTTGCTGTTGTGTCTTTGGTGCTTTTGTTGAAACGCAGACAAACGTGCGCTCATACTAAAGCATCATAAGCCTGAAAGTTCTCCATAATAGGCGACAGACTTATATCAGGCTTCTCTGAAGACGACTGATGGTAATGTGGTCAATCTGGACCCATCGATGAGTTTATTTTGAAAGTTATCAGTATAAATCCATCCACCGTTTTCAAACCAATCAGCTTGGCATGGTAGGTCCTACAGAAATAACTGTTTTAGTCAATAAAGTTCAATTGAATCAGAACTATTTGAAAACCTGATCACCACGTCAAGAAAGCAGCTACGATAAATAGATCGGTTGAAACCAGATACCGACCTCTTTACTTCAGTGTATATGATATATCAACAGAAACTGTGAATGAAATCCCACCACCTCTCCATTATTTTGTGACCTTATGGTTTTGAACATGCTTAGACGAATTAAAATTACCAAGAAAGTATTTGGAGGAATCCTGAATCCAGTACAATACCTGGAAATCATAATTCGAAACCCCAGTAACATAATAATGTAAACCGCGTAACAATAAAGATATGTGGTCTGCTAAAGTTGGCAACATAAGAAAACCGGTATAAATTTCATTAAACCTGATACATGTTAAAAAAGAATTCTAAGAATTCTTTATATCATGCACGATGAACACATGCATTGAAGTAAAGTAGAAGTATGTGATAGTTTAGATTTCACCAAGTGAAACGAAAAATCAAAAGAACCGTGGTAAAATACTTTTTGTATGTTATGTAGATAGATAGGCGTGCATGTGTGAGATAAACCTTCCATATCAGTATATTGTTTTATCCTCCCCAACCCTCCATAACAATGTGCATGGAGTTCAACTCTTGATTCATTAAGAGATTGTTATTTTGTCTAAGTTTTGAGCCTTGATCATTTATTTGATTCTACTCCGTCTTTTGCTGAATGTGCTTAGTTCGAATTTACCTGACCCTATATTATACCAGCTATTTTGTTGAATGATCGAATTTTTGATGATTGTGCTTGGTTCAATAAATACGCAAAAAATAGAAACTTCGTTTCTTGTATGTTTTAAATGTATACTGCTATAGAAAAATAATTTATCGCGCAATTCTCGAATCCAATATAATTATAATGTTCCTGCTTGATCGCCCATTATCAAAACAAATTCCTTTCTAGATAAGAATAAATTTTGTTACTGAAAACGTGAACATACCCAACTCTGTGGGAACTGACTGACTTCATACACACTGTTAAGAACTATTCAGGTGTTCTATATCTATACTTTTTATACATATCGTCGAAGAAAATCAGTACCACTTAGTAATCGAGTTATGGAGTTCCTGATTGTTTGGTTCAGTAGGTGTGAAACGGTTATAAAAACCATCTATACGGAAGTTTAACTTTGATTAGAGCTTTTCCAGCGTTGCTGTCACTCCAGAGCCCAGATAAAGGAGGATTATTTCATACACATAGTTCCCTTTATTATCTTAAAGAGAGCACCAATATTTGTTCTTCCTCTCTAAGAGGAGGATTGAGCACATGGTTAGCAAAATCATCCCATAGAAAACAATTTTGTTGAGAAAGCTAGCCACAAAACATCACCAGAACAGGAGCTATGACGTCCTTGTGTAAGCCGAGACTCCTTAAACGTCACAAGGCCGGTACCCCTTCTAACAACAACTACTAATCAACACATGGAATGTTCGCACAATACAGGAGACCGGAAGCGTCAGTCAAATAGCTGTGGAAGTGAAGAGATACAACCTGGAGGTGCTCGGAATAGGTCAAACCCATTGAACGCAGGCTGAATAGAAAAAATAGGATTCGAGAGATGCTGTTGTACTCCAGTCGTGAAGAACAAAATGCTTCGCACACTCAGGGAGTTGAATTGATGCTGTCCAAAGAAGCATGATAAACACTTATAGGATGGGAATCTCATGAATCCAGTAATCATCAGAACGGCCTTAAAAAAACTGGGAAGATTACAAAAAATATTATCTAGTACTATACCCTATCGATGACAGCAATGAAGACGAAAACGGCCAACTTTACGGACGGCTGCAGTCAATCATAGAGAAGTGTTCAGGAAAGGACATGACCATATTGATGGGAGACCTGAACGTTTAAGTTGTAATGAAAAACATCAAGTATGAAGCTATCATGAGACGACATAGACTGGGGTAAAGGAACGAGAATGATGAGAGGTCTGAAATTTATGTGAATACACAAAGCTACATGTGCTTCACCGGATCACACTGAAAACCAGGTCGATTACATTTACACCACAGAGGATGTGAGAACGACAAGAGAAGATATAGCTTCAAATCATCACCTGGTGGTGGCCAAAATAAAACTAAAGCTAACGAATTGAATGATTGAAGGATCATCGCTAGATAGGTCTAATACGTCCTTTCTTCGAGATACTGACAAACTCGACAAATTCAATATAGCTCCCAGAAACATGTTCCAAATTTAACAAGATCTATTCACAGAAAAGGAAACCACTATGGAAAATATCTGAAAGGGGATAAAAAGCAACAACTTCAAAAATACAGGACGTGCTTAGCCGTAAGAAACACCAGCATAAAGAATGGATCTTTATTGGAACCCTAAGGAGGATTCAAGAAAGGAAGAACAAAACGGCAATCAACAACAGCAAAACAAGAGCAGAAAAGGTCAAGACACAGGCTGACCATACAGAAGCAAACGAATAATAGGGAAAGAGCATGCGAGTTGACAAGTGGAAATGGGTATATGAACTGGTAACTACAGTAGAACGAGCTGCAAAAAAAGTGGGCAAGAACTGAATGACCGAACGAAGAAACCAGCAGGGAAATAAATTAAGCCAAGAAAAAACAGTCAAGAAAACAGGAAAGCCAATCACTGAGATTCAAGAACAGAGGAACAAGAGGATATAGGATTTTGAAGAGCTCCAAAACAGACCAACCCTACTGAACCCATCAGACATCGAAACAGCACACATAGACCTCCTTATACTTGTCACTCAAATAGAAGAAATCAAGAGTGGGAGATCAGTAAACCCGGAAAACGTACAAGATGAAGCACTGAAGTCAGACATAGAGGTGACTACGAAGATGCTCCACATCCCATTCAGAAAGATTTGGGAACAAGTGCTGATAGACTGAAAGAAGGACACCTCTTCAAGATACCAGAAAAAGTAGATCTGGGCAAGTGTGAGAAACAAGAGGTCCCAACTTTAATTCCTCAAGGTAAAACGACAAGGGGCAGACCAAAGAACACCTTGCTCCGGGAATCGGAGGCAGGTATTAAAAAGAAAACACTAACCGCGAATCGAGAGCCCAGGAGAGATTTATTTGGAGCCATTGTCGACGGTCAATGCTCCACGACGGGTAACAGATGTAAGTAAACATGCAAACATTTCTTCCACATATTTTAAAGAACTATGGATATTATAACTGTTGGGCGAATATTTTAAAAGATAATAAACAGAAACGAATAAATGATTAACTTGAAGTTATTTGAAGATAAGTGATTGGTTGTGGATGATGCTCGTTAAGTGTCTGCATACATAGTACTTAATATCACTTAATGTACCACTAGAACGAAATGCAGACCATATAGGCAGGAGCAGTGGTGCCACAAATTTGTAAGGGGAAAAGAGATTTTACCACTAAGTCACCAGATAACGTGCACATGAATTCCGAACAGGACTAAGTAACCGAGCTGCAACCAGTCTTTTAGCGGCATTGGAGGAAAAAACACATCTTTGACCTACTTATATCGTATTTCAGGATATGGTAAATCCACTTGTTGAACTGTTTGAACAGGTAAATTAGTAATGAGAGAATCTGAAAAAAACAGAAGATAAAAACATCAATTTTTTTAAAAATATATGATCAAAGAGTTACAATACAAAGTGAATTTCACAATAATGAACACCTTCATAACAGAAAACTGGAACCAAAAATAAATTAAATAGTTGTCCATACAGCCGCTTAAAGATGGCATCTAGCGAATTTGAATCGAATCTCCTTATATACCGCAATTTAAAGCCCTAAGTATCATCACATCAACAATTATAAGTGGATGAAAACTACATTAACCAATACATGTATTGTAAGTAAAAATTAACTGAAATGTGTTGTGCTTTCTAATAACGAAATGGACATAAAATTACTTCAGACAAACAAACCTTAAAAAGTCAACTGACAAAAAGTCACATGTCGCTTTTATGGAGATATAACTTCATCAGTTTATAATATGCTCCGAATGTTTATTTGAACATATAAACATTGGTACAAATAGGTATCAATTATATATGTGGCACAATAAAAGTGAGGTTATGAAGAGATGGAGAAAGAAAAGTGAGAATAATAAAAAATAAGAACAGAAATGAATAGAAATTACTGTATGATGGTTAAATTATTATTATTATTATGGTGGGAAAAATACAACCAGAATTGTCCCAGTTGAATAAGTTAAGCTCACTTTCATGAAGAAAGCAAAAGAAAGTTACAACATGATCGCCATTGACTTTTATTTTGAACCATTTTCGATAAATTATATGGCGAAGAGTGAAGGTGTGATCAACACATCAAAAAACTGGACGAAAACCAGTCTGCTTCTCACAAGTCAATCTTTCCCCAGATTTAAACAATCTATGATGTATGACAGAAGCCAATGGTCTCGATACGATCAGAAGTAGACTTACTCCGATAATTGTTGCATAGATGACGAACAACCTTTTCAAAAATACAGTTAGCTACCACTTCATTCTGTCATGATGTAACACTGTCGGTAAAATATTTTCAAACAACACAGTCAGGTCTCGAACCGAAAGTTCCTCGCCGTCTATAAAAAGGCCTGGAAGCAAATCGTCTGGGCCTGGTAATTTTTGTTGACGTTACAACAGGTTCCACCCACACCAGACATCTTTCTGCTAGTGACTTGAATGAATTGAAAGAACATCCGGCATTTGTCAAATGGAGCTGCTGCTTCCAACTCGTTAGCACTCTCCAACTACCAGGCTTCTCGGTCCTTACGCAAACTTTTCACATTTTCATTACGTAACAATCTCCGTTTATGATCAAACTCGTGGTTGGCTGCAGTGAACTGACGTGCTTCAATGAGTTGTACGGAGCCTGTAAAAGCCAAGTCCTTCTAAGTGGGACGTTTCGCAAAGCCGCTAGCGACTTTACTCGCAAAGTTTATGGCGTCATGCAATTGTAGCCAATGCTCATCTACACTTTTCGGTGAGTTGATAGTCTTGAACCTAGTTCGGCTTGATGTTTAGCTACAACAAAAAGTGCAGCTAATTTGATAACATCGATCCATTTATGGCGATGAAGTTGTCGGCCACTGAAACGTAAGATAAAGTTAGCTCGAACGAGACCATGATCAGAGTCCAGATAAATATTCCACAGGGAGCAGAAGTCTTGTACACAATCACGCCAGCAGCAGCTAATCGCGATGTGGCCAATCTGGGTCCAGGCTTGAGATGCAAGGGGAGGATATCAGGTAATACACTGGTGATGACTGTGCCAAAAGTTGGTTCTGGTCGAAAGTAGATTGTGATCTACTCAAATTTCAGGGGGCAGTCACCGTTATCTGACCTAGAACCAACAAATCCTGTTTAGACACCCAAATGACTCCTAAGTACATAGAAACCCAACTTGCACATTGTAATCTCCAGCTATCATTACAATGTTTACCAAACGGGTTTTCTTTAGACCATTTAATTAGTGCTAAACTCATCCTTGATTTCATCTGGACTGAAATCAATTCGGGCATAGAGGGGGTTGAGCAAATAACATTGTTTCTTAAATCCCACTTTGACGTAGCATTCTTACATAGCAGCATGTAATCGACTAGCAATGAGGATTAAGTCGACTAGTACAGCCTCTTCTCTGAGGCTTAGTGGGTCTCTAACTTAAGAAAAGCTGGGGAGTGATTTTGTAATACTTTACGGTTCTCGGATAGACGACACGAGTTGATTTTTATACCATCCAGCTTACTTTTGTTCAAGAAATTGGGTTTAAAAGGAATTTAGGAATGTGATATTGTAATGAACGAGAACACATGTGCGAACAACAGATTGATTTTCTAAAATACGAAATTGCAGAGTATCTCTGTAAAATGTAAGAACCATATGCTGAATACTTCGTTTGCAAATTTCTATCATTTGTCCTTTACATTCTGCATGTTTCTTCCAGTTGACAATTCCTTTCTATTTTCCCGTCGTATCCTTCCACTTCCGATTTGTGTTACATACTACGTACCTCTGTTGACATCAGTAGCGTACACCACAATGACATTCGTTTATTATTATGATATGTCTCATCATAACTAGTGAACCTGAAGTCCTAGTGGTTTCTGCAGATAACTGTAGTTGTAATCCGTTCGGTACGCCACTAGTAAGGAAGAGTAGGTAAGTATGAAAGTGCTATTTCTAGGAAAATGTTGATTGACTTTGAAGCTTCAGAATTTTTCGAACATTGAGGTATGTCGAGTCGGTAATTTACTCATACAACCGAAAACTATGAAACAGAATCTATTTCTTCAAGTATGCAAGTGAATCTTGAAGTGTCAACAATCTGGAAATTTCATTACAATTCGACTACATGAATTTATTTAAAATAACTAACACACATGCATTTATAGGTGAATACAAAGGTAAGAGAGTAACAAGAAAGGATTCAAAAATCAATAGCATTTCGAAGATACCCAATACAGTCGTGAATTTTTAATAAGGAAAAACGTACTCATCGTTTTACCCAAGAATCGATGAATAATAGAAGAAACGACTTGATGATTACCATCACTGTCTACAAAAATTGCACCGAGAATCGATTCAAACACATCAGCCAATACCTTGATATTGAGCCCCGAAGAAACCTTCTTTGTAATTAACTAAAATTGTGGAACATAAACACGTTCAGAGCGTCTAAATAAATAGTTTAGAGCAAATATGAATTTTCAAAATAGCACTTCTATTAAGTCAAAAAACTAAATCAAAATAAACCTAATCGATGCACACATAAACCTTAATCCATAGGTCTTAGTAAATACATACCATCCATTTAATGGTTCAAAACATAACATGATAGTCAAACAGATAAATATAACTTCTATTTAAAACTTGGTGAGTGAATGGAAGACGTTTACGTTGGAAAAAAATCAAAATCCATTTTGAGAGGATAAGATTTTAACAAAAGTCAATAAAAACAGACAACTAAGGAAATAAAGATCAAAAGATTAATAGTAATTTGAAATAAAAAAGAGAAAAAAGTGAATGTAATTAAGAAGTAATACTGCACCCAACACTTATAGAAAGGCAAAGAATGAATGCATTCGTATTGTTGATATCAGTGTCACTATTATGAAGCCAATAAGGGAAAAAATTAAATGTGGAATATAAACATTACTAATCACAAGTTAGTATAGAATAGATGGAATGTGGCTTGCAGTGGAATCTAGAACGAGAGTTTCGTCATATTTGGGACTTTTCAGAGCCGATTCGCACAGGATCCACACATGCCAACCAAATTTCAGTCAAAATATCAACAACGGGTTAATCGAATAGCCAACTACAACTAGTCGTAGTATTAATTCAACAGTTTACAATGACACAAAGTTGTTTTACGTCACAGTTTGAGATCACCTAAGGATCGCCAGTTCCACACTTCTGAGGAGTTCCAACCTAGACTAAAACAAATATCCAGTGCTCCCTGGATCTAAACAGTTCTCCTGCTGGTGGCACATTTCGGACAATCTGATCACACATATACTTGTTAAGAACATTTATATATAGAAATAAAAGGTCAACTAGACTGGAAATAGGGGTAAGAAGAGACAAGGATAATAGCAATAAGAGTAATAATAATAATGTGAACACAACTTGAAACCTAATCACTGGATAATAAGCCAATATTACCCTGATAATAGCCAGAGTGATTAGGTTTCAATTAGTGTTCACATTATTATTATTATTATTATTATTGTTATTATTATTATTATTATTATTATTATTATTATTATTATTATTATTATTATTATTATTATTATTATTATTATCCTTGTCTCTTCTTACTCCCATTTCCAGTCTAGTTGACCTTTTATTTCTACATATAAATGTTCTTAACAAGTATATGTGTGATCAGATTGTTCGAAATGAATTGCGCTAATATATCACATAGTTCTGATAATCTTCGTCTTCTTATTAGATTGTCGAAATTTATTAACTGATTTCTAAGAATAGGTAATTAGCATCCACTGACTGTACCAACTCAATTAATATAGGAAATAAATGATCCCACAATAGAATGTACTAAGAATACTAGGCAACATTTAAGCCATCTGCATAATTTGTTATAAAATAAACTCAGTGAACAATATTGATTTTATTACGCAAAAAATATTAAACTATAAAAGAGGTGTAGTAGTCTACCTCAATACGTTCAAAATGTGAATCGGTTTGACGATGAATACTTTTTATATCATCAATGCATGCTTTCTGACTGCAATTCCCAAAATCGATGAACGGGTGGATTTCATGCTCAACAACAACATTAGCTAAATTAATATTACTGACAACAGTAGATCGTGCGGTGGTCAATGCACCTGGAAGAGAACATATATAATTATTGCTGATTTCTATTCATATAACAATAATGTTAGAAAACTAATTATGATTTATATTCAAATGCAACTAGATGGCTCAACGATAAAGTTCATTTTTCGTTTTTCCAGTTGTACAAGCAGAAAAACTACACATTATTTGACTAAAAATGTTTCTCAACAGCTTTAATAATTTATCGAAACAAATCAAAGCCAAGTTTTGAATGACAAACAATAACGGGGAGTAACAAATAAATTATAATTAACCTCAACATCACTAAAATAATTTTGTCGCCAGATGTGAACGTTCCGTCGGATGCAATGACCATCAAACATCCTTAGTTTGCAGGGGCCAGACAGTGTAAACCCTACCTTTTACACGTATATTAACATCACGACAGCTTCAAAGATGGACTAAAGTAGTAAAGTATTGACATACTCAAGATCAAAGAGTCCTTCGTCTATACCACCATTACCTACATCACAGCTGTTTCCAGAATGTAGTCAGTGGAAAAGTTGGACTGTAATGATGAGACTGAGCAAAGTTGCTTAACCCCGATGCTTGAATGGGTAAATGATGAGAGGTGGTTGTATTTCCTCATTCTGACTGAGGTGTTTGTATACAGAGCTTTCAAGATGTTAGTAAACTTCTCAAGTACATTCTTCTCCAACCGACAATTCCAGAGCACAACTCTGTACAATGAATCGAAGACAGTTCTGATATCAAAGAAACAGTACAATTGTTGGCCTGCAATAAGTATGACGGCATTCTAACAGTTGATGGAAGGCGAAGATATGCTCAATGTATCTAAAAACTGAACGAAAACCCGCCTGCCCTTGAATCCGTTTTTAAATGTCTACGCAGTATGACGGAAGTCAGTAATTTGAATTCAATCGAAACTGGACAACCCCAGATGGCTATTTTATGGATTATGCAGGCCCTTTTAAAAGATGATAAGGAGGACGGCTACATTCCAGGATGTCGGAGCCCCGTTTTTCAAACAACCCAGTCAGTTGTGGTGATTGATCCCTGAGTAGTTAATGATGTCACTTCTTTCTATTCATTAGGCCAACGGATTTCTAACGATCAAGTTGCTGTATGGTGACTAGTCTATGTGACTAGATAATAATAATATCAACCACCTAACTCTAATCTAGCCAGTTTTCTGATCAGAATTCTGTCACTATTTTTTATAACTACTAGTTTAGCTTTTGACAATGATATTTACAATGAACAACTAACAATAACAAAGCGATATTTTCTTAAATACAGTGATTCTTCAAGAGCAACACAGTGATATAATTATTTTTACTATCCTAATAAAAAGTAATTTCTAGATAATATTTAATTGATACCAAATAGTATATAACAAATACTTAACATTAATGAATTAAAAACTACTAAAACTTGACAGGCTAAAAATTGACATTGAACCAATAGATAATGTGTATTGAAAAATGCTTACATACAATCAACTGTGACTATGTACAAACATATCACATTTGGAATCAAACGTATCGCAGAGTACTGAAAGTAGATAACTGTTGTGGAGGAGCCCCCAAATGCCCTGGTATGGCCGAGAGTGGGGTTGGCACACCCTTCCCCTCGAAATGCTCTCACACGGCTACGTGTATACAGCCTCTATCAGGGAAGTCCTACTCACTGCCTTCTCGTGGCGGGGGTGTTGTCTACGAAAATGAGAGGACGCAAGGCGGATGTCCGGCGCTCTAACCGGATCCCAAACCAATGGTGCACATGGGCTTCAGTATCCTGCAGGAACAAATGGTGTATGAACCAATCTTGGTCACCGGCTACCATGGAACTGCACCTCCTCACGATGCTCCACTGCCCTGTGGGTTAGACCTTTAGGTCAAATGCTCGGGGTGTGGCCCCCCATGAAAACCACCTGCTTCGGTCTGGGTACCTGGGCAGTATTACAGCCCACACACAAATACGATGAAATGTCGATATTTAAGGAAAATACTTGTCTTGCTTCGATTAACAGTCAACGATTCACATTATTATTATTACTATTACTACTATTAGTTAACATTGAGCGTCGTGGTAATCGGCATACGTAACACGTGGCCCAACCATCTCAGTCGATGAAGATTCACAACTTCATCAACTGATTTACCATCATTCCCTAATACCCTGCATCGAACCTCACTATTACTTACCCGGTGATCCCAGCAGACGCCAGCAATATTTCTAAGGCATCTGTGGTCAAATACTAGTAGCTTACGAGTGTCTTCTACTCTTAATGGCCATGTTTCGCTGTCGTAAATTAAAACAGAACAGACTGCCGCGCAGTATACTCGTCCTTTTATTGATAGACGGGTATCTCGTCTTCGCCATAGGTGACGCAAATTGGCAACAGCCAAGCGAGCTTTTCGAATCCGTGCTGTGATTTCGTCAGACACCAACCCATTAGGGCTGATCAGACTTCTAAGATAAGTGAAGTTGTCAACGCGTTCAACTACTTCACTCCCTATCCTTAAGTTCAGGTGTTGACGCAAATCAGTCCTGAAGCAACAACTTGCATTTAGAGGGAGAGAAGAAATTTCCAAACATTCTGGAATTGTTGCTTAGTGCTACCAAAAGACTCAGCATTTTATCAGCGTCTTCACCAAACAGGACTATATCATCTGCGTATTCTAAGTCGATAAGTGGACCTCCTGGAACGAGATCAATACCCAAGAATTCAGTAGACGAGAATGTTATTTCCATCAATAGGTTTATGATGAAGTTAAACAAAAATGGAGAAAGTGGACAGCCTTGATGGACACCACTTGAGGTTGCAAAAGCAGATGACAGTTTGTCATAAGCTCTGACTCGACTAGTAGTGTTCGAGTGAAGAGCCTTCACAAGGTTTATGTACTTCTGAGGTACGCCTTTCAATGACAGACACTGCCACAGAATCTCGCGGTCTACAGAGTCAAATACTGCTTTTAAGTCAAGAAAGACTGCCATTGTCGGACGCCGATAAGTATGCCTAATCGCTAAAATTGGACCACCATCCTTAAAGACTTCTGGAGCCAATCCATTTGGACCAGCTTCCCTTTCTCGTTTCAGATTAGCTATAGCCTTTCGAACTTCTGCTAGAGTTGTGGGACCTACTTCAGTGTCCCATTCACACTGTCTGGGAATGGAGGGTAGTTGTAGAGTAGCTGAAGGCCAGCTGAACTGTTCTCTGAAATGTTCCGCCGATCGTTCTGAACGTCTGGACCGAGAGCAGATGAGGGTGCCGTCTTTTTCCGAAATAGTCAGACTTACACTTGACTTACTAATTCCAGTTTCTTTTATTAGTCTGTAGAGCTGTCTTGTGTTCCCTATAGCCGCCGCCTTTTCCATCTCTTTCGCTTTCGTTGCCCACCACTGCTCACGGTCGTTCCTTAGACTTTTGGTTAGCCTAGATCTGATTTGTCGTCACTCTTCATCGTGTTCAGAGCCTGATGAGATGAGGTTACGAGAATCCATCAGTGCAATAGACCTTGAGAAAATCCATTGGTTCTTTGTAACCCTGTGGTTTAAATCACTGATAGATGTCACTGCTGTCTCCACAGCTGTTTGTATAGCTTTCCAAGCAACATCTGAGTCAACCTCGTTTTCAGAACTACCTAATTGTAACCTCAGTTGTTCCTGGAACCTACTTTTGGTTTTCTCGCTACTCAACTCAGTTCTAATGGGTCTTTTTACTGAGGCTTTTTTCCGTCCAGTGAGGCGCAAGCAGATGCGTGCCCGTATTAGGGCATGGTCGGAGTCCAAGCAGGTACTCCAGAATGAGCGACAATCGTCTACCGACCCTCTCCAACGATGACTGATGGCAATATGGTCTATTTGAGTCCATTGTTGGTTTGGTGTAGGGGGTCGCTATGTTAGACGATATCTCTCCTTATGCTTAAAATTTTTGTTTGCTGAAAATGAACGATTGTCTGAGCATAGCTCTAGCAGACGATCACCATTATCTGTTCGTTGTGCCGGAATACTAAAATACCCACCTAAATGCCTTTCTGTTTGGTTTAAACTACCTATCTGGGCATTAAAGTCACCTGCTACAAGTACTATGTCTGAACGTTTAGCTTTCTGAAGAAGTTCAGATAGCTTTCTGTAAAATTCATCTTTCACTTCATCTGAGCTGCAGTCGGTGGGAGCGTAGGCAGAAACGATAAAAAGGCAACGACGTGTGTCCCTATCCTTCCGAGTTCTTACGGAGCCGTTTAGCCGAAAAGCACGTAAACGACTGTTAACGGGGATCCACTCTAATAGTGCTTGTTCCTCCCTCATGCTTAGTGCAATCCTTACTCCTGCCAGTCCACGAGAGCTGGACATCGCGTCACCAGATACACGGAGGGTGTATCTCGCTGCCTCTCCGTTTTGTCGAGGTGAGGTCAAGGGAATGATCACACTGGGATCCTGCATGCGTGTTTCAGAGACACAGCATACATCAATGGTACGAGATCCTAGGGCTCTGGCCAGGAAAGCCTGTTGACCGATTTGACATAGGGTGCGTACGTTGAAGTCTCCAATGTGTAGTTTGCAGTGAGGTTTCAGTAGACATGGGACAGTGTTTTGAGCACTAGAATTGTTGGCTATGGTGACACTTGAGGAGGAAGCTGAAAGAGGAAATTTAGAAATGAAAGTCGATGTAGGAACAATAATAGGAAGTGAAGACGGAGGTTGATTATGAATACAGTGGTCTTGGGTGCTGTTAGAAGTATGAGGGCGGTTATCACTTCCCGGATGCCCACACCGTGGAAGGGTTTTTCTGGAGGTACCTGAAAAGGAAATTGGATTTGGGGTGGTCTTAGTGACCTGGGAGCGTGACCGCAGTGCCCAAGGGACAACTGCTTGAGGTCGGTCACACATGACCTTTCTATGGGTAATTTTTGTGTTAGCCCCATACTTGTTGAGACCTTACCGCCGGAGACGGATATCCGTGGGATAAGGGGAGGTGTGCACTTTTACGGTCAACTTTTTCTAACCCCACCCCTCCTTGTGGGAAGGCAGCATCGCTGTCAAGCTGGTTGTCTAAAGGAAACACCTTAATGCTGTTACACCTCTGTACAGTCAGTAGTACGACTTCGCCTTCGGACCTTGAGCTTGTTGCTTTTAGTCTTACCGCTCTTCAACCAACCTGTCTGACATGGTAGGACCTTGAGGAACAGTTGTTCCAACCAGTGTAGCTCGGTTGCTTCATCACGATAGGCAAGCCCGACCACCACGTCAAGGTAGTAACAACGGTCGGGGCAATCAGGCTTAATCTTTGACCATCATATAAATTGCCGTGTACGATTTTAAGGAAAGGCTTTATTAGTTAATCTATGACGAATCTAAACTCTCGTTTCTCTGGAATAGTTTTACATGTTTAGTTACATATTGAAAATATTTTTGAAACTTTTCGTTACATTTACCTCTGAAGTGAAAATAAATAGTTTAAAATAAGCTAACCTGGGGATGAGTGAGGACATTTTTGAAACAGATAGTTGCTGATAATATGGCCCAAAATGGAATCGCCAAGAAATTCTAACCTTTGATGCGATAAATTTTTTTTAAAAGGACAACCATTTGACAATAGTATGTCAAGTGAAGAGTAGTAATAATTAAAAAATAATAATAATAAGCATAAAATCTAAAATATATAAAATAACGAAAATGAAAAGTCATCAAAACCTAAGTAAAATTATGTTTGTAAGGAAAAACATCATGGTTTAATATCAAACAAACTAATTGGTGAAATTTTAAAATACCGTTGCGTGAAATCGAAAAAAAAGAATGAATAATTCATTCAAGAAACAGGACAGCACAGTTTCACTTAAAAAAAATAGACTTCTTCTCTCTGTAATTACATGTACTCTATTTTTCTGCTGCGGTTGTTTACCTTACCAAATGTAAACTTACAAATGTAACAAATTATATTATATTTAGTGAACATATCTGAATTTATTCGTACTCGACCCCTGATCAATTTTGTACATTTTCTTATCCTGTTCTGTAAAAAGTTCACTTGACAATGAGATAATAAGAAATGCTTTGGGAATGTTATATTTCAGGGATACAGATTAATAGACATATGATGGTGAAAGAATGGATTAAATTTAGATCTTACTTATTGTCCAATCAGTATGTCGGTTTTGGATAGAGTTTGTATATCAATACTTTGGTACAATAGGCAGATTAGCAAACAGACATATATTCACATGTATATACACTTAACATATATTGAGGATGAGTCGTCTGTGCTAGTGCAAAGTAATTTATAGGATATTGAATAAGAATTGAGCCTTAAACTAGTTCAGACAAAAGTAATCCTGAGTGGGTTTGAAGCTACTATACAAATCGTCTTAGAACTAAAAACTGATTCTAATAGTTGAATATATCGAATACAAATTATAATAAAGAGTGTACTCGTATGAAGTAATATTTATTAATGATCTACAGTATTATTGCAAACTTGTCATATTTTTCCGTCTCTCTACAAAGTACGGTTTGAATTAAAATGCAGTAAATTCGTTTTCCCTGCAAACGATAAACAATCCACGATAACAAAAATATTTGCAGTACGATAACACTTGTGACATTTCAGTTAATTGTATAGGTATCGTTAAAGGAAACTTTAAGAAGCAAATATTCACGCACATAATGAACAATCAGAAGCTTCAAAAGAACAGGTATTTTATTTTTTGAGATTTCAATATGCATTTATTCACACAATTCTTTTTCATTTTCCTTCTTGTTATATTACTATTACACTGATTGTGACTTGACACTATTCCGAATCATTTGACCCTTATCATATGACCTTTGTAATTTGCAAATAACACAATTTCGAAGTATATATGTCGTAACAGATGCAAACGTTCACCAATTTTAGCACATAATATTGTCAAATTCATTAATACATGCCTTATTTTGACCTTTGTAAAATATCACGATAATTATGGACTTATAACTGTAGAGACTGATGATAAAGTTATTGAAAACAGTTGTCTACTAAAAAAATTTCATTTTTTAAAATTTCAATTTAACTAGTGATTAGACTTTCACTAGACTTGCGTTTGCCGGGTATTTTATTGTCTTTTTTTCTAACGTATTATTATTTGATACATACTATACTGAATTAAAAAAGCTCGGATGGATTCAATATTATGATTTGATCAGTTAATATATTTTTATGCTTATCCTGTAAGAGAAATGTCTATGATAGTTCAAATTCTTACGTAGAACTTTAATCCTAAGTATAGTTACGATAAGCACAAACTTAACTAATCAATTTGAACGAATGAAACATATAAATAATCAGAATGAGTTTTGTGGAGATTTTAGTAAATTTCACAGGTTGAAATCATGAGTCAGTTGAAGCTAGACCACCATTGAAAACCTGGAAGCACTGGACGGCCGTTTCGTCCTAGTATGGGACTCCTCAGCAGTGCGCATCCACGAACCCGCTCCCTGCGGGATTCGAACCCAGGACCTACTGGCTTCGCGCGCGAGCACTTAACCATTAGACCACTGAGCCGGCATCCAACGGTGTTAATGTCTAACTTCAACCAATCCATTCTGATAGTAATCAACTGCTCACTAGTGACTGACTTCAGGAGAACCTTCTGGAGTTCTAGTGAGAAGCCGTCACCAGTGGAGTTCAACCAGGTCTGTTGTGAGATATCAGCTCACTGAAGACATTGGTGTTCGATGGCGCAACTTCGTGGATTGGTTGAAGTTAGACATTAACACCGTTGGATGCCGGCTCAGTGATATAAATAATCGTCTAAATAAAGGTTCTGTGTAGTTCATTTGAATGTAAATTTTATACAATTTAAAAATTATACATATATAATGTGAAAATGAGATGCTTCAAACAATTTGCCAAATCATGTTATGTGAAACTATACATTAAATTATGTAGGGACAGTTTAAGCTTATGTAACTCATCGTACCTTTGATAATTCCCCCAATATTGTCTATTAGATGATGACTGATGAGTCACAGCTTCCGCAAGCAATTCAATTTTTTTAAAACCATAACCTAGTTTTTCTTGTAACTGAAAAAACCTCTGATTTAATTCCAGTATAATTTCCTTCGAAATATGTAACGATCTAGATGAAGGATTGAAAGCATTTCCATAGTTTAGTTCTGAATATAATTTTGGTTGTAAAAAAAAGTGCCATGGAGCTTCAACTTTGTAATGCTTATCACTTTTTAGGGTGCTCCAACTCACTGGACATATTTGAAAATAATGAAGTAAATTAAATGCAGCAGATAGTCCTGAACGTAGTAAGAAACATCCTATAAGTGCTTCAATCATATCTGCCAAAGATTTATCTGTTAAACGAGTATACAAACGTGGATCATATTTACTAGCCTATAAAGGAAAAATACACAAAATGATTAAATGGTAGGAAATTAATCAATATTAACTGGTCAAATGTGCTCTGAGTAACCAGCGTCGTTGTCACATTGAAGGTGAAAAGTGTATTGTCTATCAAACGATAGGCTGGGTGAGTCTAGGTATATCACGTGCTTTTTTTCACATGCCATTTTGGAGTTCAATGGTAGATAAGAAATTCTAAAACACGGTGTTGTAGGAAATCGTTTATGTCCACATTCAAAGTATCAGTCCATGTATCCATGTATTCAAAGATAGAAGAATAATCGCAAATACACTCATGAATTATGTGCATTGTTATTCGGTTCGGGAACTTCCTTACAAAGTTTAGTCTACTCTTTTTCATAGTAGGTTGAGTGTGCCTTATGAATCGAACGGCAAAACACATTGGTCAAGTTGATATCTTTGTTTACAGTGATGACCTATTAGTTAACATACATGAGCTTCAACTGTTTGTTTGAGGGTTTGAACCACACCTCTTTTATTTTTAAATCAACCAGCTAGGTAGTTCCACCATTACTTAAAGAAAAGGTGTGACTTCTAGTCATTCATACAAATCATCTTTGCATGGTAACGGAGGTACATTTACACAGTCTGTCATGGTCAACTCATATCATAATTAAGCAAAGATGGATAGTGGCTAGCAGTGGAATCCAGGACGCGCGTTTCATCCTTTTTGGGACTCGTCAGCTGGATGTATCTGCATCTCAGAGTTGATGTTCACTCTGGGACTCGAACTCAGTACCGTTCGCTTTAAACTCCATTGCGTTATCCACTTAGTTACTGAGTCCTGATAGCCACTTGCTTGTCCAATGGGGGTGAAGTTTGATTCACTTGCTATTGTTTTACTTGAATCTCCCCATTGATGTTTTAGGACTGAAATTGATCAGTCTCTTATTGGCATATGTTCATACTGTGCGTATGCCTCGATATTGCCTTAATTTACAAGCTGACGAGTCCCAAACAGGACGAAACGCGCGTCCTGGATTCCACTGCTAGCCATTATCCATCTTAGCTTATAATGCTTGTAAATTAAGGCAATATCGAGACATACGCACAGTATGAACATATGCCAATAAAAGACTGATCAATTTCAGTCCTAAAACATCAATGGGAAGATTCAAGTAAAATAATACCAAGTGAACCATATCATAATTGTTGTGGCATTGTGGTATAACCACAACAAATATTAGTTTCTTCTTTTCACACTTAATATTACTTTGACCTTTGTAATGCAGCAATACCATGTAATCCACACTTATTCTAATTGGCTACTTTTAGAATAATATACACACTGTAATGTTTACTTGCATAACTGCCTTAAAGTTTTAAAAAAATTTTGCTTTCTCAATTCTCAGCCTCATGTGATTATCATCGTCGAAGTGCTGTTGTGCATTCATTGTTGATCCATACAACCGTTTTACATCCACTTCATATTAAAAGCATCTCCCCATTGTCCTTATTCTAGACTTAAATCAACTTATATAAACTGGAACAATGTTAACAATGAATGTTTCTGAGAATGTTCGCATGAAAAAGAAAATATTATTTCCATGTTAAATTACTGAGCATTTATCTAATGAATAGTCAAACTCGGTGCTGACGGATTAGAAAAATCAGATGAAATTAACACTACGTGAATATGACTGATCTACGTTTATGTTAATACAAACACGGAAATAAAAGAAAGTATCTTGATCAAATAAGCATGTTGATGATCAGCTATCTGAACGAGAGACAATATGGTCAGCTACATAAAAAAGTTGCTGAATTATGATTTACTCTAGTAATGAGGTCCAATAATCTATCCATCAATTTTTTAACATCAAATAAATAAATGAAGTTTGAAGTGCTTTTTACTAAATTTTAGACCCACAGATTTATTTCTGATACATATCGTGCCAATTTTATCTAGGCAAATACATTTTAAAGGAACGTCTTGTGAACCGAAACCGGTCCCAAGAAGCATACACATATGGTAAGACCTACCATAATTGCTAAAGGGCAAATCAACGGTGGTAGTTATCGTCGAATACACATAAAACACTGATTCGAATGAATACAAACTTATTCTTGGATGACTTGTACTCAAAAAGTTTAACGTAACAACAGGAGAGTTTTACTGAGAGTAAAATATGAAAAGTACCGAAAAGAAAGTAGTGTTCACAGTCATAACTTAAACATGGTTTATGTTTTTTAACTGCACTATGAACGATTCCCAGTCACAAATAGTTGTATCAGTGAATAGGCGTAACTATTATTATTCGCTGATTTATTCAAACCGGACTATAACCTGGTCTGACTAACAGTTGATACACTTCAAAGTCTGTTTTATGAAGATCCTAAAACTTCCTGAACAAATGAGAAGAAACTTTACCTGTACCAAATAAAATTATTTCGAGTATTATTTTTGATAGAAATTCAACTATAGAGGGCAATCAAGTGAAGTTGATAGATGAGACTAAAGAAATTAAGAAGATAACTAATTAAAGGTTGAGTTCTATTTCCTCACTGTCAAAGGTTTCAATTGTCCTGTTTGTTAAAATGTAAATATAACTAGGCCTACGCTCAATGTGATGGAATGCGACTTTCCAATTCACTTAACATAAAATTTATATTTAAAAAAATCCATGAGTGTGTTTAAAGGGATACACGTAAGAGTACACAAAAAAAGAATACGTGGCTAAATAACAGACTTCATTATGTACCAATCGGGAAATAATATATGAAATTACTTGAAAATAAGAAAATGGAAGCTGTATAATATGGTGAAGTAAAGAACTGCAAAATTTTCTTTATTGAATATATTTATATTCAATAAAGCAAATTAAGAACAAATAAGTGAAATTTTTGGGACGTAAGTAAAGAAACACTGAAAAAACCTTAATTTGTCACTAACCTCGGACGCAACAGAGTAGCATGGGGGTAAAAAGTGTTCTGGTGGCGAAAATGTTTGACCGGTACAATATTCATACCATTTCAAGTCGCAAGCAATATCGCAGAGATGAGCATTCGATACAAGTGAACCTCTTTTGGAACTTAAACACCCTTCGTCAGCATCTTGTGGATTGGTGCCATAAACACATAATGTAGATATAAAATGCAGGAATGAATCGCCATAAAATTCTAAACGTTCAAGGTCTACTGCATCTCGAGCTCCGAGTAATGTAGTTGGTTCAATTAGATTATTAGGGTGAGGGCAAATTGTAGATTTCTCTAAACTTTCACTATAGGCTTTATTATCCAATTGTTTATCTATTTCTGAAGTTGTTTCATCCACTTCAAAATCAAAGATATTTTTTTCCATTGGTTCACCATTTAAAAAAACAGGAACACTTAAACGATCAGGGACAAGTATGGTTGTATGAGAAAGTGAATCATTGCTTAGAGTTAATGAATTTATTCTAATTTGAGAGAATGGTTGAGGACTTTTCAGTTCATAATTCAACTCTGTGAACAGTTGTGAGACTAGTAACGCTCGTGACATTTGATAGAGAATTGTTGGTATCAAGGAAACTTGGAACCAAATCCATGATGACAATGGATGCACTAAACAAGCATCAGATAGGAACACCGATGGTTTGATAGATGCTTTATTTTTCCTTAGACCCGCACTAACTTGAGTCGAATTTTGATGACGTGTTATTCTCAGACATTCAAACAATGGTAGTGATGGATTTATTGTGAAAGATATGTTTCTCATCTGTTGATATTTAATTCTATAGTAGTCGGAATAAGTTAGAGAAGAAGCGCCTTTGACATTTTGAACATCACCAAGTTTGGAAGCAAGGGTTTCCGGAAGAGGACTTGAAGCAGTTTCCGAACTAACCTTTGAGATCGAAAACATACCAGGATCACTATCCGGTAAGTGATTAGGTTTGACGACCAAACCAACCCAATTGTCTTCAGGTATTTGACTCAATCGAATTCGCCATTTAGGCACAATACCATGTACAGGTTTAACATACGTGGAAAAATTATCATCAGCTGTTGAAATTCCAGTATCTCGGCAAACAGACCACTCTAGAAGTGCGTTGAGTGCTTCATAATCGATAGTATAATCTAAAATGATAAGGTACATAAAATATATCCAGCATTAACATGTAAAAGTATCTTGCACAATCATAAGATATACCATGTAATTTGCAATTTAAGGTTGGAAACAAACTGAATGTCATGATCTCTAATAGTTATGTCAGAAACAAGGGTTACGATGTAGATTTGACGGCAACTTGTTCTATCGGGATTATTATTCTAATTCATAAGCATCTATCTTGAGCCCGAAATTAAGCAAAATAAAGACATTATATGTGAAAATTATATTTTAAATAATCTCAGTGATTGAAATTTAAATAATTCCAACGTTTCGTCCAGTTAACTTGTCTGGACTTCTTCAGGGTAATAATAGCTGAGATTATTTCAAATATAATTCTCACATATAATGATTTCTCTATACTCGGCGCCCAATTTCTGTCAAACTATTCGTTCTAATCTTGACAATATTAGTACAAAATAAAGACAGTTCGGAGAAAATATGCTTTCCGACGATATCGATTACAAAAGTTGTACAACCGTATTCCTGGTTATTTTATGCAAAACAGTCTATAATAAAACAGAAAGGTATAAAGTGATTGATTGAAGTGTCAAAAGTTAGCCAAAAATTCCAAGTGTCTGATAAAGTTGCGTAATAGTCGGTGTAATAAGAATAGAAATATTTAAGAGGGAGATGTGAGAAATTGTCCACTTAACAAATAAAAAGAGAAAAAGAGGTATCAATAACAACTTATAAAATAAGAGATGTTAGGACTACAGTAAAATGGGAGATTGGACACCGCTTCTGAGCACAAAGACCAGGATTGAATTAATTAATTGCCAAAGCCTCTATTGTGCATAGATTTTTCATCCAGCTTTCTTTAGAACAAGTTATTCAAACTTAGTGAATAATTGCATATGAACATTCCGGTGGACGTATATGACCATATCTTCAACAATGGAAATAATAAATAAATGATATACTTGTAATATCCCAATGAGTAGAAAAATTAGGTTTCCTGACATTTCATAACTTAGTGTAAGCTACTTCATCAGAGAATAAATAACCAAATCAAAATTAACCCCAGTTTTTGTAAATAATAGCCGATTTGCAATTACCTGTGGATAGCTATGCTAGGTAGTTTCGGGATAAGCGCTTGGAAGGGGCACAGTTTGTGGACATGCTACAGCATGCTCCATAAGGACAAGTAAACTGGTGAATACACGCTGAGGTGCAAAACAATCTGGAAAGCTTGATTATCGGAACTGAGGAAAGTATTGACTTCAAATGAACAATAAACTATATTCTTCAATAGATATCTGATGAACGGATATATCAAAGGTAAACTGATGCTTTTATCGTAGGCAACTACATGTAAAGCAACTACGAATACGAAGCTATACTAAACAATTTCGTAGAAAACAAAACGGTTTCCCGTGCATTGTCTTTATTTTGTCTAACCCAAAATTAACTATCCATCAATACAATATAAAACGGCCACCAAATGAGACTATTTTCACAGACAAAAATGAGCATCTTATATGGTTATAACTGATAAGGACAAAAAACGAATAAAATGCAATACGTGTAGTGAGAACGTACTAATGACAACATATATTCAATAACCGGTAAACGTATATTAGATTATCTTTGATTATACACGTTATGATCTCTTTAATTATGACCCAGCTGTTTTGATTGTTAAGTGTTATTAGAACATTTTACTTCACTCGATAAGTCCTCAAACCAGAACACGGTTGAACAGGAACGCAATTATATTTCACACAAACAAGATAGAATGGGAGTAAGAACTATAAAAAGAAATACGTTAGCATATTTGGAATTTTAAACAAGAAGCCTTCTCCGAGTATCTGCTGGCGCTAATTAGCTAAGAAATGGTTGATCAATGTGCTCCAACACAATCCACATTCCGCTAAAATTACACAACGCAGAAAAAGCTGCTTCTTAATCCTAAGTGAAAAAAACACCTTTTGAGATTTAAAACCAAGCGCTTATTAGTATGAATTCTAATTTCAAATAGTCAATCGAACGAAACGTAAAACTCGGTAATTATGTACATCGGTTCGATTCGCCGAACCGCAGTGACGCAACAAAATGAAATTTTAAGGACAAACTCCAGGGTAGTTGAGATAGTATCAGTGGTAACGGAAAAAATTGGGCATCGAGGATACGATTCAAGAAAACAACACAAATAGTGAGAAAATGGTTGAGGAATTTGGAAACATGGACTCTACAAAAAGACGAAGAAAATGTAAGTTAGTGAAATAAAAAGATTATGAGGAATTTAGAAACCTGAAACTTAGGGGAAGACAAAGAGTAAATCTATATGTGCCCTTGCAAACGATTTTGCCAACGACATTCAAAGTCTCTAACTACTAGTTACGATAATCACGCTGTCACGACCATGTATTCTATACCTACCTACATGACTCAGTTCAATTGTCAGTGACTTCATAGACTGATGCCACATTTTGGTCTGACCTCTACTAGCCTTCTTCTAAATGATTTTTACACAGGTTAACATCGCATTGACGTAGATGGGTTCGGTTGCGTCTAACAACAAAACTATAAGTCTGCCAGTTAGATTGTAAAAAACATCCTGCCCCTAAATTTCTTGGTACGGCTGAGGGTGAGGAGAGTCAGCTCTTCTCAAAATGCTCTCACATGGCGACGCGTATACGGCCTCTGCCAGGGAAGTCCTACTCACTGCCTTCTCGCGGCAGGGGTGTTGTTTACGAAGTTGAGAGGATGAAAATTGAATGTTCGGCGCTTTAGCCGGGTCGGTGGACACGGAGGATTCACCTAGAGGAGTTGGGAAACCCTGATTCCAAACAAATGGCGCTCATGGGCTCCAGGATCCTGAAGGAACAGATGGTGTGTGAACCAATTTCTGGTAGCCGGCTACCATGGGACTGCATATCCTTACGTTGTTCCACTGCCTTGGGGATCAGATCTTTGGGTCGAAGGCTTCAGGTGTGGTCCCCTAAGAAGACCATCTGCTTCGGTCTGGGCACCCGGGTAGTATCACAGCCCACGTACAAATCAAGTGACTTATGTGGCGCATATGTATTCGGTGCCCCCTTTGTACCAACATTTATGTGTTCAAATAAATAAATAAATAAATGAAACATCCTACTCAGGTTTTCGAATAAGAGATAACTAAATAAATCAGTCTCAAGTCGCAGTGAAACCAGATCTGACCATAATATGTTGAAATGTGACCTATGAATTTTCGTACCATTAACTTACGACCAGAGGAACGAGACACTTCTTGGTTAAACTATGAAAAACAGATACCTACATGTTGTTGATTAGTAATTTTAAGATGAAAGCAAACGTCTACACAGCAGTGACTGGAAATGTGTACAATAAGTAAAAATTAGTTGGTAAAGGTAGAAAAATGGAAGAGCACGAATAGAGTTCATGAATATACGAGATTTCTGTGTCCCTGAAAGTTGATCGACTAACAGAGATTCTTAGCCACTTACACAGTGAAAGGTAGGGTCTTATTCACCTGATTGGAGCATAATTGAAATCGTGGATTGATTGAAGTTAAACATTAACACTGTAGGACGCTGGCTCAGTGGTTTAGAGGTCAAGCGTTCGCGTGCACGATCGTGGATGCTTACTGCTGAGGGGTGCCGTACTAGGAAGAAACGATCGTCCAGCCCTTCCAAGTCTTCAATGATGGTCTAACATTGGTCGTTTTATGATTTCGATGAAACATAACTAAAACGTTGATCGTCAGGTTTGTGTTCAAAAAGCGAAATATCATTTCTGATTTGTGATCGATCAGCCGTGGTTGACAAGAAACATAAGATTAATTGTACACGTCTTTCCAAACCTAATCTTCTTACGCAGTTTAAAAAACCATACCACTACCTTAACGCTCTACCACAATAAAATGTTAACCATACACGATAAAGACTTTAGCACTATCGGAATCTACGACAGATCAGAACCACGTAACATTATTCCCCCTAAGAAAACATATTACCTAACAATCATAACACTGAGATACTCGCATTCATTGATAAGACCTTAACAAATAAATGAATTTGAGCAGCTGAATTCGTGAGTCCATCTAAACTAGATCACCAGTGAAAACCTGGAAGCATCAGACGGTCGTTTCGTCCTGGTATGGGACCCCTCAGAAGTGCACATCCACGATTCCGCAAGGGGGACTCGAGCCCGGAACCTTCGGTCTTGCGCATGAACTTCAACCAACCCATGATCTTGTGCAACCCTACATCTACTGATGGACAACCGTTTTACACCCGACACAGATTGGACACAACTGGTCACGGCTTCTCATTAGAATTTCAGGAAATTCATCTTGAAGATAGTCACTAATGAGCACATGATTGTTATCAGAATAGGGATTCGTGGAGATTGTAGTGATGTTAACAGTTAGATTAGTGAGTCGACCTAAGCTGCTGAGGAGTCTCTGACCCGGACGAAACAGCCATCCGGTGCTTCCAGGCTTTCAATGGTAATCTAGCTTGGATCGACTAATGAATTTAACTGTCAAAATTACTACCATCTCCACAAGTCCCCATTCAAATAAATAAATAAATAAAAATAAGTTAGTGTAACGAAAATGGGTAGGTATGCCCCCTGAATGCCCTGGTACGGCCGAGAGTGGGGAGAGTCCGCTCTCCCTCTCGAAATACTCTCACACGGCCACGCGTATACAGCCTCTGCCAGGGAAGTCCTACTCATTGCCTTCTCGTGGCGGGGGTGTTGTCTACGAAAATGAGAGGACGAAAAGCGAATGTCCGGCGCTTTAACCGGATTCCAAATCAATGGTGCACATGGGCTCCAGTATCCTGCGGGAACGAATGGCGTATGAACCAATCGTTGGTCACCGGCTACCATGGGACTGCATCTCCTTACGATGCTCCACTGCCTTGTGGGTTAGACCTTTAGGTCAAAGGCTCGGGGAGTGGCCCCCTAAGATAACCACCTGCTTCGGTTTGGGCACCCGGGCAGTATCACAGCCCACACACAAATTGATGAACTCTTTATGCCTATGGAAATTACCTTTCCCGCTTTGAAAAACAAACAATTGATTCAGATTATTATCATTACAATTATTGTCATTATTAATACTAATATTATTATTTTCCACATTATTCACCCTCTTTTATACCTATACAGCGGCTCGTCTTTGGTGGAAATTCGACTCTATATAAACGTTCTCGAGTCACTGTCCGGTTGAAAATTGTATGTTACCACCGAATACGAGGACTGAAGCAGATTTTCTGAAACCACGCACCATTCAAACTGGCTGCCTTCAACGTTCGCACATTTATGCAGGTTGGACAACAGATAGGGCTGGCTACGTCTGTAGAAAGTCTTAATATCGACGTTTGCTGTCTAGCCGAGACCCGTATTCAAGACTCTGGCGAAGTACTACAAATTCGATCTCCATCTGTCGCTTCGAAAAGCTTGTTTTACGTGCGCTTATCCGGGGACGCAGTGGCATCTTCGTCTGGTCTTGCTGGCGTTGGTGTCGCACTAAGCGCTAGAGCTGAGGCAGCACTAATCGATTGGATCCCCATTAACAGTCGGTTATGTGATGTTAGATTATAAAGTTCCATCAAAGTGAGAAGAAATCGGCGTGAGAAACGATGTCTTTTCGTCATCTCCGCCTATGCCTCGACAGATTGCAGCCCGGATGCAATCAAGGATGAGTTTTACCACCAGTTTTCTGTTCTTCTCCAGAAAGTGCGTTTGACAGATGTTGTAGTACTAGCCGGAGACTTGTGGGTTTGCGAAACGTCTCGCTTTTAAGCACTGGGTTTCTTCTGGTTCCTTACAACTCATTGAAGCCCGTCGGTCTACTCCGGGTGACCGTGAGTTTGACCATAAACGAAGGATGTTACGTAAGGAAATTGGGCAAAGCTTGCGTAAGGACCGAGAAGCCTGGTGGTCGATGCGTGCTAATGAGCTGGAAGCAGCAGCTGCATCTGGTAACTACCGGAAGCTCTTCCAGCTCATCCGAGCCACTGGCAGCAAGAAGTTTGGTGTGAGTGAAACAATCTGCGAGGATGATGGGATGCCAATCACTAACATCCATCGACGTCTTGGACGATGGGCAGAATTTTTCGAAGGGCAGTTCAACTGGCCTGCTGCTCCGGCAACATCGGTCAGACTGTCCTGCCCTCCATGGCCGGTGACGACTGATCCACCAAATGAGGAGGAAGTTCGCAAGGAACTCCAACTCTTGAAGCGTTACAAATCACCTGGCCCAGATGACTTACCTCCGGCTCTTTTTAAAGATGGTGGTGACTTTTTGACTAAGGAATTGACGACGTTGTTTACAAAGGTTTGGGAACTAGAGAGTGTACCAACGTCATGGAATGAGTCGATAGTTGTCCCTATCTTTAAAAAGGGTTCACGTCGTTCTTGTAACAACTATCGGGGGATAAGTTTACTTCCGATTGCGTCCAAGCTATTGGCTTCCGTCATTCTTCGTAGGTTGTTCAAAACCCGAGAAAGATTGACTCGCGAGGAGCAGGCTGGGTTTCGTTCTGGTCGAGGATGTATTGATCATATCTTCACTCTCCGCCAAATGTTAGAACACCGCCATACTTTTCAAAGGCCAACAATCGTAGTGTTTCTTGACATCAGGGCTGCCTTCGATTCGTTGGATAGGACTGTTCTCTGGGATTGTCTATTGAAGAAGGGTGTGCCTGAGAAGTTTATTAACATCCTAAAAGCCCTGTATAAAAACACCTCAGGCAGAGTGAGGGCATACAACCACCTCTCTCCGTTGTTCCATTCGAGTAGTGGGGTTAGGCAGGGTTGCCCAATCTCACCATTCCTCTTCAACTTTGCCATCGATGACATTCTGGAAACAGCTCTGATGAATGTAAGTAATGGTGGTGTGGATCTGTTGCCTGGAGAAAGACTTCTCGACCTTGAGTATGCGGACGATATTGTCTTACTGTGCGATAATGCCCAAGGCATGCAATCCGCACTTAATCAGTTGGCAATCAGTGTCCGTAGGTATGGTATGTGCTTTGCACCTTCGAAGTGCAAAGTACTTCTACAAGACTGGCAGGATTCTAATCCTGTACTCACGCTGGACGGTGAGCAGATAGACGTAGTTGAGAAGTTCGTGTATCTGGGTAGCTGCATAAGTGCTGGTGGGGGTGTGAGTGATGAGATCAATGCACGAATAGTGAAAGCCAGAGCGGCTTATGCCAATCTGGGCCACCTTTGGCGCCTTCGTGATGTTAGTCTGGCTGTAAAAGGCCGGATCTACAACGCGTCGGTGAGAGCAGTTTTGCTCTATGCTTGTGAAACCTGGCCTCTCCGAGTTGAGGATGTTAGACGACTCTCTGTGTTCGATCATCGCTGTCTCCGAAGGATTGCTGACATTCAGTGGCAACACCATGTCAGTAATGCAGAGGTTCGGCATCGTGTGTTCGGGCACAGATATGATAACTCAATTGGTGTTACCATCTTGAAACACCGACTTCGGTGGCTTGGACATGTTCTACGAATGTCGTTCCAGAGAATTCCACGTCGTGCATTATTTGCCGACTCTGGGACTGGTTGGAAGAAGCGGAGAGGTGGTCAGTGCATGACATGCTGTCGTGGCATGAAAGAAAGCTGCAAAGGACTGGCTTGTGTTGGTCCTTCACGACTCCCTGGCTGGGGTCCGAGAGATGGTGCTACACAGTGGCTAGAGACGTTATCAGATATGGCTCAGAATAGAAGCCAGTGGCGATCCTGATGTAACCTTCTTTTACTTTCTTCATAAAAAGTGGTTGTGTCTTCCCTAACTGAAAGATTTCTTCTGATTGTACCTTTTCGTTCCGTCGTTACTACCACACTACCTTACTCCAATCTCTTCGTCATTGTTCTCTTTTTCTTTTGCGTTCCTTAGTTTTTTTTCTCTTTCTACTTCTCTTCGAATTCCCATTGTTTTGTGTGGCGCATATATATTGGCGCTCTCTTGTACCAATATTTATGTGTTCAAATAAATAAATAAATAAATAAAAACACAGAGGCAGAAACTAGTCGAAATACATGAATAAATTAATAAATAATTATCTCATTGAGCAGAAGTCCATGTCACAACTAAAGGATCAGCATACTGTGTGGCGATTCGATCTATTCTAGCTTATAGATATGAAACGTCACCAACAACGAAGGACTTACGTAGGTATCTTTGAAACACTGCGCGTAATTGTTGAAAACACAATATATTGAGGTTAGAGTTAAGGTTGCAAACGAAGATGGTAAGTTGGTCAATGGAGTGGTGTATCTTCATCGATTGAGATGGTTAGGACATGTGTCACGTGTGCCCAACCGCCTCCTACCTCGATGGGCAACATTGGTCTAGAAGTAGGTTAGATGAAAGACAGAGGCGCCCGAACTAAAACTTGGCATCAGCCCATGACGTCATTGATAATTGAACCAACTCATGTAGATAGGTGTAGACTAACTGGTTGGGGTTTACAAATTTAGCATAACCACTAGTGAAAAACGATGGATAAAACTGCCCAGGATCAACTGCGACACGCAAATGCATTTACCTTTCGTCACCCTTTACATCCTTAGCCTCAAAACCTTCCCGTGCCTCCTCTCGTCGTTTCTACTACTAATACTATGAATATTTCCCTTCTCGGGGATGTCCTGATATTTTCATACCGTCATCTTAGTGTGATGTACCAACTCGGACTAATGCATATACGCGCTAGGTCCTATGTTGTGTATGACTGATTAACTAATTATTGGTAACACGTACACAAGAAGATGGCACTAAATGTAATACCAAGGACGCAAAATGCCGTACATGGTGCTCCCAGCCAACAAAACTCTAAAGAGTAGTTAGTTTATAATCATATTTTAGTTTAGCAGTAGAAATTTGCAAATTAGTACGGTCGTTTAGTCGAACTTCACGATGTTATCGATAAGAATAGGAAAGGCAATGTTAAAGATGTTTGCTTAGAAGCGGAACATGGAAGTTTCGAGATTTAAATACACTAGATATATTCGTTATATTCAAGAGAAGACCGGAACACTCCAAAGGCTACAATGAAGATCGGTAAATACAGATACTATTAGAATAATAAATCAACAACCTTCAATTATGACGCTCCTAATCAGGGGATTCACGGAACATAATGAAATCAAAACACATCGCATGAACCAATAAAGTTTAATAAACAGTAGAAGTTTGGGAAAAATAACAACTAGGACTAGATCTTTTCACAATTAGAACACACAGGAGCAAATATGCAAATAAATCTCATGACTGTCTGGCTTATCCGTAAAAGTTAAGGTAAGTTATCATACGGCAAATCAAATCACAATAAGAAACAATGTGTTGAAACATTAAAGTTACAGGTATTGAACCCACGAAACCTGGTTTGTGTTCGTAGCTTATTTTTATAATATTAGACTCCTTTTCATTTCTTCGCCGCAATATTTTTCGACCATTTTCCAATTTGCAACTTCATTCCAAAAACTGACTTATTTTAACTCATTACTTATTATCACTCACCTGTGCCCAGTTATTTCGGCACGTAAGCGCCTACGATTTTTCACCACTACATTACAGAAGCCTTTTTATATTGTATATAGCTAAAACAATTATTGATCCAAACACGCCACTTATTATGATATTTATTGCATTTCTATAAACCCTAAACAACATTCATTTTAGTACTAACTAACACTGACACGAAAGTTCTAAAAAGTATCATATAACTAAACAGATTGTACGGTTTACCTGGTAGTCTAATCAGCGTCACCAATGACAGGATATTTGCTTTCTCGGGATTGAATGATAAGTCACCAAATCGATCAAAAAGTACGACGCGGAGAGATTCGGGGATATTCGTTGAAGAGTTTTGTTTATCGAAATGAGCACGGAGAAGAGGATCTGATGGTTTATAACCAACATGAGACATATGAGCAATATTTGTAATTAATTCGGCTATAACATGATGAGCTGATTCGACACACTCTAATTCTTTCTTATTTAGTGTAAGTTTCCCTGTTAATCGAACACGTGAACGAGCCATACCGCGAGTTAGGTAGATAGGAATTCGACAAACGTAGTCTTTCTATTAGTATTTCAAAATGAAAGAAAATAGACAATTTGTTGATAAGCTTTCCTTTGAGAACTTTTTGATTTTTTTTGATGAAATATTGTCAGTAAAGGAAACAGAATATGATTCGATAACCATATATGAGTTTTTAAATCAGAGCTACGTTAACCATACTAATTATTTTTTTTGGTTGAGATCATGAATTAATTGATGTTAGACCACCGTTGGAAACCTGGAAGCACTGGACGGCCGTTTCGTCCTAGTATGGGACTCCTCAGCAGTGCGCATCCACGATCCCGCACCCCGCGGGATTGGAACCCAGGACCTACTGGCTTCGCGCCTGAGCACTTACCCATTAGACTACTGAGCCGTCATCAAATGGTGTTAGTGTCTAACATCAACTAATCCACGAAATTGCGCGACCACCTTCCATTGTACTGAGGTAGATACCTGTCTTTACCCGACACGGGTTAGCTCCACTGGCCAGGACTTCTCACTAGAACTCCGAGAATTCCCTCACGAAGGTTAAATGCTCAAAAATCATTTATGTGAGTTCAAACTTAGAATTCACAGGTCAGTGATGCCCAAACCAACAAGCAGTATCTCTAAAATAAAGGACGAATCGCGCGTAAGGAAAACAGTATATATATACTGATAGTGGCGTGACAGATGAATCTGAGCTTGCTTTATGATAATCTCAGCCTATTTCGTCCCATAAAGATACCTCTCAAAGGGTGAGCTGTGTAATGGTGTGTTATGTAAACAGTTTTGTTTAACATCTATAAAACCTGACCCCGGAGTCGAAGATGTTTGACCTCTGTCTGTGTTAGACAATTTTTATCACAAAACGATAGCTCACAACTGATGGAAACAATGAGTGAGTTATGTCAGACATAAAAAGTGTATTTCATATAACCCAATTAGTGTCAACTTAAAACCACGACTTCAGTAGCATGAATACCTTACTCATTTTGTTTACGTTGCGTCCAGACCAACAATTACTCGTCAACGCTAAGGCGAAATGAAAATAGCAGATAGGTAATTAGTTTGTGACATCGTTGCTGGTTTATTCGTGCATTAAGTGTAAAAATAGGGGGTAATCAAAACGAAATGTACCCGATTAAGTGTATGCCGAAACAATCAATCTATTCTTGTATTTTAATTTTGTACTTAAAAAAGGTTGTAGATGGTGGGAATTATCAGGGTGTAAAATGGATGTTGTGAACATGACTTCCGAAATATCTACACAAAATCTTATTCGGTATTAGTATATCAACTCGTAGTAGCGACATGATAAAACACATGGGAAGACCTTTATGATCTCTACCACGAATTACGTAAACCATTAGCAGTGAGTTCGAAATAAAATGAGTACTCTAAATCATATGTATAAAAACTTAGACTGGACTTTGTTTGAATAGTAGTAATTTCTCAGGAAATTCATTTACTTATTTGAACATATAAATGTTGGTACAAAGGGGGCACCGAATACATATGCGCCACACAAGTCACTTGATTTGTACGTGGGCTGTGATACTACCCGGGTGCCCAGACCGAAGCAGATGGTCTTCTTAGGGGACCACACCTGAAGCCTTCGACCCAAAGATCTGATCCCCAAGGCAGTGGAACAACGTAAGGATATGCAGTCCCATGGTAGCCGGCTACCAGAAATTGGTTCACACACCATCTGTTCCTTCAGGATCCTGGAGCCCATGAGCGCCATTTGTTTGGAATCAGGGTTTCCCAACTCCTCTAGGTGAATCCTCCGTGTCCACCAACCCGGCTAAAGCGCCGAACATTCAATTTTCGTCCTCTCAACTTCGTAAACAACACCCCTGCCGCGAGAAGGCAGTGAGTAGGACTTCCCTGGCAGAGGCCGTATACGCGTCGCCATGTGAGAGCATTTTGAGAAGAGCTGACTCTCCCCATTCTCAGGCATACCAGGGTATTTGGGGGCACTTAGAAAGCCGATATTTACCTATGAATTAATAAGGTAGAATTCATATAAAAGTGGTTTATTTTAGACTAGTAAGGTTTAATTTGGCGGATAATGTTTACCTTTTCCAAACAGATTAATGTGATTCCTGGTAACTGACTTAGTAAGTCACTAGTCTTTTCAATAAATAGAACCTATAGTGACCAGCTTCATGGAATAATAGTATATTCTGGTTTGACAGACAAACATAAGCAGTGCAGAACTTCCTTCAATGTAAGATGGTTGGAGTTATTGTAAATCATATTAAAATCGCAAAAACTTAATAGGCAGAAAACCAGGGAAAAAATAATAATGGTAGAAAAGCTAGAGGACAACAGATGAGATAAAAGCGATAAACAAAGTAAGTGGATCAAAGACTAGATTCGTAACTAGAATAAATTTATTGAGATTACTACAACTGATTCTCAATTGTGTAATCTATTCTCCAACTACTGATAATAATTACCTTTTGGAAGCAAACGAAGAAGCTTGAACCTCACTAAATGGCTCATACGAATGGACATTGATTTCAGGGACGAAAGTCTTGCAACATCTAGTTATGTATCAATGTTAAATCGTAACAATACGGAGGTTTGATTATGATACATAAATAGCTAACTATCGACAACTAAACATTTGCTCAAAGTAGACATTATATAGTAGATCACCTTAAAATAGTAAATGTGAAGACTATAAAGAACTATTTCTTTCGTTAACTAAACCTTAGAAAAATCAGGTTTAATTATGAAGCCAACTAGAACCACCATAGCTTGCTAATTGCACGATCACGATGATAAGCAGAATAAAGTACCATAAAATACCTAGTCAAAGGATCGAAACATACACAAATAATTCACAGATATTCATGCACATATAATTACTTTGGATATTTGTTTAGAAAACAAAAGTCCGATAGTTGTGTTTGTGTCTCGAAAACATGTTGTGGCAAGTGAACATAGCTGAGTTATTATGTCATTCCTTGGGAGAGACCAAGTATACAAATACACTGTCGACCCACAGGAGGGAAGTGTTTGGTATGGGAACGATAAGCATCTAACCTTCTGAAAAAAATGTTTAAAAAATATTAAATATGATTGGTAGTAAAAGTACGTGGTAAATATAGCATTGTCAACTAGCTTAATTTTTATTCCTACTTAATGAGCTTTTAGTAAATCTACTTGGACCAATAAAACAATGTTGAATTTGTATTTAAGCACTTTTAGAACAATATTTCACAAAGTAGTATCTTCTAAATTGTACTTTATTTCCAAAAAATGCGTACTATTACCCATAAAACCGTGGTAATTACTTGCTAGATTTATTGGATTTGGGTTTGTCTTATGTTCGGTCAGAGACTGAAACATTAAAATTACACAACACACTTTTTTACAATATACCCTTCTTATCAACCGCTCTTGAAATGATCACTTTACATAAAGCTTGTCCATTATCAAAAAGTGGAATTTTAAAAGCTTAAAATAATGGATGATGATATTATTAGCTACCTGTTCACGCTATAAATTAGTTACTCATCTATATGAGATAAATTGTTTTTCATTAATAGAATGGTTACACACAACTACATGTCATCAGAGAATAGACTACACAGACTATATTTACCACTGATATAAGAATATATGCACCCGGTAAATCGATGTTTGCACAACACATGTATTACACTCTCAAACTTTTGTTAATTGCCAACTTACTCCCACTAGCATTACTAGCTATATCGGGGATCAGAACTCTAACGCAAGCAACATAAATATGTCAGGTAAAGACAAAACTTTAATTACTAGACTTTAACTAATATCTATTTGAACCACATTCAAATCTCTAAAGGTATAAACACTTAAATAAACTAGTTCAACAACGAATGAAGTAATCGAATGGTTTTTCCGAAAAATTACTTTGAAAGGTAATATTCGCATCGATAAGTTCAAGTTGAGTTGATGAATAGAAAATCATGGTAAGCTATACGAATTCTAATATACAGTCCACGAAATGATAAAATTTTAGGGAAACGCGCTGGTTACTAAGGCTGCTATTAGCACCACCCATTACTTACTTTTGGGTTCCTAAATGACTGCTTCTATCCATGTTTTAGGTTGAAAAATTGAGAATGGAGAGAACTTGTACCAACGAAATCCCGAATCCATAAAATATGAAACAATTAGTGAAATAAACCCATTCTATAAACAATTAAGTTGATGACCTTTAATAACTGTGATGTTGTTGATAGTACAAGTCCAAACTATGAGCTTAAAGTTACTTGGTAATTTTTTGTCTTTTGATTTTATTTACTGTCCCTATAATATACTTATTTTTATTTTTACACTGATGTCAATTTTATCCTTATTTCTTATCGGATTTTTCTTTCTGTATGTTGACATGGTGTAGCAACTTAAACTGAAAGTCATCCCAGACCTGAATGACTCTAATGTATTATTTATAGATATATGTAATAATATTTAGACAAGCTTTCCATTACTTGGTAACCATGTACACATCAATGTATCTGGTTGTTAGTTATAATTAATAGATGGAGTCACCCATGTTCGTCTATAAATCAGTAATAATCATCGTTTAATAAGCTGTATTAAAATGGACGATCAATAAAGCGATTATCACAGAAGGTAAGCAGATCGACTCCATTACAGTTCTTTGTATAAGTGAAATAACCTTCGTAACTAGTACCTAGGAGGATATTCTAGAAATTTCAACTTCGGGTTGATCCCAATTAACTCAGTGAGTATTAGATAACAAATCGTGCGTAGAACAAAGGATAGGAAACGTCGACGAGAATACAGTGAAGTGATAACTAACCTGTGTGAATATCACTAACATCTGGTCTGAGCCATGTCGGTAGATGCAGGCTACTCGGCTGGGGTCCGCATGACTTTTGTAACCGATGGTTGTAGACTTTGTGACATGGCTCAGAATCTATCACAATGGCGTAGGTGTATACACTCCATGTCTTCCTTTAAACTAAGAGATTAAAGTCACTTCATATCTCTCTATCAACGAATTAATTCTTTCTTCCTGTACTACATCCTCATACGCAATCTTCCTTTTATATATTACCACCATTGACCTAACCACTCCTATGAATCAGGTGTTCATCTCGTTGTGCTAATGAGGTATGGCAACTTGGACCGATGCATATATGTGTCTGGTCCTATGTTGTAGCTGACTGACTGTGTGAATATATTTCATATACATAAGATGGTACATGAAAAACAAAGTACTTTTAATTACCGGAACTGGGTAGTGCTGGTATCTGACGTTTTGTGGAGTATATTGTAGGCAGTTCTCCTTTAAAGAATCATGGTCCAAAGTGCTAGTAGTTGAAGATATACTAGATGTTTTGGACGATGGTTCTGAAATTACTGTGGGAAGCAGCTCTCGCTCAATGTTGAAAGGTGTAGGATTATCACTAACTGGGGGAGTCCACATGAGTTCTATTCAAATGGAAATAGTGAAACTTGGAGACCGTTTTTTTACAATAACTGATTGGATTAATCTTGTTTACGAAGACCGAAACCTTTTGTCATTCAGTCAAAACGTCGTGATTCCCAGATCTGAAAATTAATGAATTTAGTTAATTGGTATTCATAAAACAAGTTGTCAATTGATTCCTAGAGGATAAATGGTACGTATTAGCTTTAGTCCTTGAACTAGGCACAAACGTAATCCATTAGTTTTAATTTGTGGATTATAGGAACTTTGACGAATGCCCAATGTCCATGTGCTCTTAATGATATTTGTGACTTCAAACAAGTCAGTAGTACAAAATGACAAACAAAAACGGAAAGCAAAGGATTCTACAAACTGAGTCAATCTCATAGGTGGTGACCTCAATGGTGATTAGATCCATGCAGTTTTCCTTCGCCGTGGACACTGACGTGTTCTAAAATCAGTAGTGATAATAACAGTAACTTATCCCGAACTTTGAAGTTAAAGCTACTTTTATTACAAAGCACTACAGTGAGAAAGTCATATTCGCGTGTCTATCTACAAATCGCCATTTTTACAGGTCATTAAGTTATAATATTTGAATATATATACATGCATAAATATAGATTTACATATTTATTTGTACCAAGGGAAATCTGCTATCTACTAAAGAATACTCATGAGACAAACATGAAATGATAAAGACCATGATTCTGAAGGTCACAGCTGTAGCGGCAAATAAATCCCCAAAATAAATACCTCTAAGTTTTCGACATTGGATGCTGACCATATGTTTTAGTGGACTCATCTAGCTGAAGGAGCTCGGTCAGGCATCCGCACCAGATCACGTGTGGTAACGCCGTGCTCAACATCTACCTCAATCGCTAGCCAGATTAGATCAGAGAATTCCGATTTATTGGTAATCGCCAAATATACTCTTCCGATCTCCTCGACTATGTCTTTTGATTTCTCTGGGTGGGAACGAATTACATTAGAAAGTGTTACTGGTAGAAGCGTTGTCAAACACTGAATACCTGTGTCATCTTCATTAGTGAGCCCGACGTGATCTGGTACACTTAATTGCAACTGTGAGTCCGTTCTTTTTTGGGATTTATATATACTATTACCTTATTTTTTATTTTTTTATACATTGTGATATTTTTCCTCATGTTTTTAAATATCTATATATTAGTCCCTCGTATTCTCGTACCTAATATTCCCCTATAACCGAACAGACTCCTAAAGTATTTAAGGTTAAAACCATGTCCCCACTCTCGTTCCAACTCATGCCTTTCTGGCCCGACAACATCGAAGCCTGGTTCTGCTACGCAGAAGCCGACTTCCACGAGCACGGCGTGAACGACACACGTGCACAATTCCTCGCAGTAGTCAAGGCACTACCGCGCGAATTTAACAGGTACGTAACACCTAGTATGTTTGCTAATGATGTTTCCGATCCTTACGAAATCTTAAAACGCTCGATTCTTAAACGAGGAGACCTAACCGATCGACAAAGGTTAGATCAACTCTTCAATAACATAGACCTTCAGCACGGTTTTGCGACGGATGCGTTGCAAAGAATGAGAGATGTTATAGGCCCAAGAACTTTCGACGAAGGTCTATTCGAACAACTCTTCTTGTCTAAACTTCTCTTACAGGTGCAAGCGTCACTGGTCTCGTTTCAGAACAACGCCTTAGACGAACTGGCTGCATCTGCCGATCGTATTTTAGAAATTACGAAGTCTACTACCGAGGTATTTTCAGACAAAGAAAAGCATCAAACAACTCAGAATGACATTACAGAGTTATGTCATACACTTACACGTTATCTTACATTTCGTAACGACCGTAAACGGTCACACACCACTCGAAGAAGCACGTCACGAAAGCGATCTGTCTCTAGACCATGAGAGACGGATAACCACGACTGGTGCTGGTATCATAACCAGTATAGAAAGTCTTCCAGAAATTGCAGAAAACCCTGCAATTTTCCCAACACGAAACCGACTGACTCGAAAAACAACTCGGGAAACTTCCCAGCCGGCACGCATTAATGGCAACCGTAGCCGGCGAACATAGCCGTCTTTTATGAGTCACAGATGTGACAACGAGGGTTCGCTCCCTCGTCGATACTGGCGCAGAAGTTAGCGTTATTCCAGGGAATCCTAACGACCGACTTCATGAACCAGTTTTAAACCTACAGGCAGCAAACGGAAAGCTTATCGCTACAAAAAGTAAAATGTGCGTTTACCTTAACGTAGGTTTACGCAAATCCATTCACTGGATCTTTGTTGTTGCAGGTGTTTCTATTCCAATCATTCGTATAGACCTCCTACAACACCACAATCTAATCATCGATACGCGCAAACGGAGGCTAGTAGACGGAAACACTAATTTATCTGTTTGCTTAACCTCTTTTTCTAGTTGCAGATTATCTCCCGTCACAGTCAGGCACACGATAGACCTATCCTATAGACCATTACTCGATACGTATTCTGAGAGATACCAGCCGCAACCAAAATTTCCGTGCGTAACCAGCAATGTCACGCATCACATCACGACTACAGAACCTCCTGTATTCTCGAAAGCACGCCGACTGGATCTCGAAAAGCTGAGGTTGGCTTAAGGCGAATTCAATCACATGATAGAGTTAGGAATCATTCAACCGTCAAGCAGCCCATGGGCATCTTCATTGCACATGGTTCCTAAAAAGAACAGCAACGTTTGGCGTCCAACTGGTGACTATCGGCGATTGAATGCGAAAACCATTCCCGATCGTTACCCGTTGCCTCACATTCACGATTTGACAGCTACCTTGAAAGGTTAAACTGTTTTTTCGAAAATCGGCTTGGTTAAAGGGTATAACCAACTCCCTATGGCTACTGACAATATTCCAAATACCCGCAATTATAACACCCTTAGGACTCTACAATATTTCGCGAATGCCTATCGGTCTAAGAAATGCTGCCCAAACTTTCCAAAGGTTCATAGATAACAATTTTCGAGGCCTCAACTTCGTACATGCGCATGTTCATGACTGCTTAATAGCCATTCCGGACAGCGAATCGCGTCTCTGGCATCTGGATCTTGTGTTCGAACGACTACAAAAACACGGCATCACGGTAAACATTCAGAAATGCCAAATCAGAGCCGACTCCTTAAATTTCCCAGGACACACTATTGATGCGCGAGGCATCCGACCTCTTAGGAAAAAAGTCGCGGCCATTCTGGATTACCCAGAACCCATCACGACTGGGCATTTGCACATATTTAACGGACTTGTAAGTTTCCATAGACGGTTCATACCGAAATGCGCGTCACTTATGAAACGGCTAACCAACCAACTTCGCGGAAATGCGAAATCCATTAGTCTGGACGATACCGCGCGACAAGCATTCTCCACAGTTAAGGAACCCATAGCAAAGGCAACGATGCTCCCACATCAGGACACTCAAGCGCCCATTAATATCGCAGTACATGCATCAGACTCAGCAATCGGAGGAGTCTTACAACAATCGGTTAACCACTCCTGGCAACCTTTGGCATTCTTCTCGAGATGGTTGCTAGACACTGAATCAAGGTACAGCACTTTCGGTAGGGAACTCCTAGCTATGTATTGTGCTGTACGGCATTTCCAACACTATATCGAGGGCCGTGAATTCACTCTTTTCACGGATCATAAACCGCTCACTTTCTCGTTAAGCTCTACTTCAGACAAGTACTTTCCCCGTGAGTCTCGACAACTGGACTACATTTCGCAGTTTACTTCAGATATTCAACATATTTCTGGAGCAAACAATGTAGTTGCAGATGCCTTATCTCGCATAACTTCCTTGAACATTTTCCAAGGAATCGACCTTCGTAAACTCGCCGAGCTTCAAAAAGAAGACACTGATCTTCAGCACGAGTTATCCTCAACTGCCCTTAAGGTGCGCAATAAACAGATGGGAATAGGTAAGGAAACCTCACTCTGTGATACATCTATAGTTAAGGATCGCCTAATCGTATCGAAACTTTATCTATGCAACGTCTTCTATACGTCACACAAACTTTCTCATCCATGTGTTCGTGCAACCATCAAGCTTATAGCAGAACGGTTTTGCTGGCCTGGCATGAATAAAGACGTGACGGAGTGGGCATGCTCCTGTGTAAGCTGCCAAAAAATCTAAGGTTATCAGACACAATAAATGTTCCTTAGGCTCATTAAAAACTCCCGATGCTCGTTTCGACCATGTCCATCTTGATTTGGTAGGACCTTTACCAGATTCAAATGGATACTCTTACCTCCTAACCAGCGTAGACCGTTTCACTCGATGGCCAGAAGCAGTACCTATCAAGGACGTTACTGCTTAAACAGTGGCTTGCGCCTTCGTCGAACGATGGGTAGCAAACTTCGGCTCTAATTCAACCGTCACAACAAATCGCAGACGCCAATCCGAATCTGAACGTTTCCTTTATCTTTTCGTGCCTTAAGGTAACCCTCGTGCTATTGATAGAAGAAACCAGACAAGTAGTGAATATGTATTTATTTCGATCTTCGCACAGTCACAGTGGAGTGTGGGATTATCTGTTCAGACAAACAAAGGCTCTCAACATTCAATATAAGATAATAGGGAATATAACGCTTATAAAAATTAAGGAAGTGAATGAATACTTGAACAATACTGTTTTGGCATAAGCTTGGTTGTTTGGGGTCAACTCTTAACCAACCAACCTGAGCTGTTACATTAGCTTCCCCCTAGAATCGACTTCCGTAGGAACGTCGGTTCGATTAACCTATCTATCGAAAACACCTTAGTTTTATTTCTCATCCCAAGGGAAAATTATCAACTCGCTCACTATTTGACTTACAATCAGTGACGACTAACGCTGTCAACGATAGTCCATGGATGTCTCTTCATTTACTAGCTTGTCATCTTATTTTGTAGCATGTGATCTATTCTACAACTATCGCTGACGGTTTACTGCGTGCTTTCAAGAGAAAGAGTGTGAGAATGTGGAATAAGAATATCTGAGGAAGTGCCGCGAGCGGGCTACTCAACACCATGTTGGTGAGGTACGATTTTTCCATGCTCAGACCGGCTATCAGGTGTTTACTCACCTGCCTCTTTAGTCGCCCTCAAGTAAAAAGTAAAGAAGAATCTACTTCAAAGGTAATGGTGAAAACCAATCACACCTGAAAAACTGCTCCACTGCTTGCATAAAAATAATAAGATACAAAATGGAAATACAAAAATATAATTTATAATTGTTCGGTTCCACGTAAGTGATTGGCCTCCAGAAAGGATTGGTATTCTGAAAGAAAATAGACATAGTGTAGCCATCTTATGTACGAAAAGGTATGAACACAAAAAAATACTTTTCTATAATGCATATATGTAAAAGTGTAAACTTGCTAGAAGTTGGACTCATTGTCAAACCCGATCAAATGTATGACCTTGGGCCTATGACGACCGCCTTTTATAACCAGGTACGTAACCAAGGGTGCATAGTTGTACTCCACAAAACGGAAAAGAATATACGGTACGCGATTGTTCGCGAGTATTAATTGGCTTAAATTTGGACATATGGTCCCGTAGTTGATCTACGTAGTTTCCTAAATTAAGTTTTTGACTGTTAGTATTAGGGTTAACAAATTCACCGGGTAGTCTCAGAGTTGTTCCGAAAACCAGTTCCGCAGCTGAACACTGTGCGTCAGTTTTGACAGATGTTCGTATTCCCAACATAACT